GCAAACAGACATAATGATATTATGAAAAAATAAAAAAGAAATAGACCCATATCTTTACCCAGAGCCGAGATCCTGAGACCCCGAAAATCAACGTAAATCGGGGGTAAGGCTCTTTAAAAAAATTTTTCGACCCCTTATGGATTGTTTTGAATTTTGATATTGGGCTCATTCGAAAGCCCTTGAAATTTGCTACAAGATAGCATTAAACAAGTTTTATAGAAAAATCCATTAGAAAGATACAGGCCATTAATTTTCTGATGCAGCAAAATACCCCATAAAATGCCCTTTATGTGGATTCGAAAGTTTAACTGACTGTGAATCTCAGTAAAATTTTTTCTGAAAAATAAAATTATAATAATCTTGTAGCAAATTTCAAGGGCTTTCGAATGAGCCCAATATCAAAATTCAAAACAATCCATAAGGGGTAGAAAAATTTTTTTAAAGAGCCTTACCCCCGATTTACGTTGATTTTCGGGGTCTCAGGATCTCGGCTCTGGGTAAAGATATGGGTCTATTTCTTTTTTATTTTTTCATAATATCATTATGTCTGTTTGCTAATATTTTTGTAGATTTTTCCTAATCTTGGAAATATTTTTTTTGTAAAGTGGACTTATAATTTTGTGGAGGCCGAAAATGCAAATTTTGATCTAAAAATTTTTTAAATAAAAAATCAGCCAAAAATCGATTCACATCTTGTTAGTTATTCACTGAAAGGTGTGTTTCTAAATTTTCAGAAAATTTAAATAATTAATATTTAATTAATATTTTAGAGCAAAGAAATTCAATTTATTCGAAAAATTGATTATCGTGGCCCTATTTTGAAAATTAATTTTAAAAATTTTTATTTCAATTTGCATTTAATTTCTGTACCACAAAAAATTTTTGATAAAATAGTTAAAGTAAAAGAAAGGGAAATAGATTTAAAAAGTATAGAATTTATTGATATAGCAATAAATGAATTTATTGCTAAAATTGGAAAGGATAATTTATTTAAAAATTATGAAGAAAATAAAAAGGGGGAAGTGTTTGCCCTTTCAGGTATTTTTTAAAAAAACTCAAAGTATTCGCTAATTTACTATAGATTACTTAGTAACTGGAAAGTTGAATCTAGTCACTTTTCTCATAGGAGAAGTAACTTATTAAGCTGCGGCGGATGTTAAAAAGATTTGTTAAAGGATACGTTCAGTTATCTCCATGTGATAGAATGGCCGCATTTAACTCAAATTATCGAGAATGCTCATTCGATTCAGCTTGACCTTATGAGATCTTTTATTTTCTTTAAACATCTCGATGATAATTTTCGAATAACATGATTTTTCTGTAAAAAAAGGAAAAATATATGTTTAGGGCAATACTGTGTATAACGTGAAGTATTTTGCTACCGAACTTCTCTGAGGAAAATATTTTTTATTCTTTTCAATATTTATTTTTAAATTAAGAATATCGTTCAAATTTGCAAATGTCTGTTAATTTAAAGCAATTTGAAGGAAAATTTTGGAAAATATTTAAAGTTGTTAGTCTTTGGGCAAAAAGTAAAAATAAATAGATATTTAATTAAAAGATTTATATTTTTAGATAATTCAATTTTTAGAGAAATATTTGGTTTTTTAAATGAAAAAATAATTGAAATTTTGATTTATAAAACAATTAAGGAAAATAAAAAGGAAAATTTAATTATAATTTTAATTGAGAAAATGTTTAGAGAATTAATTGAAAATATGTATTGTTTTGTTTTTGAAATTTTTAATAAAGTCGAACCTCAAGAATAGGGCTGGAATTTGAGAGGATTAATGGGACTTTAATCATTAGAAATTATTGTGTCCAGCAGGACCGGAATATACACATTTTTCACAATTTCAAGAGTTTAGTTAAGGTCGTTGATCAAATGAAACAGGTCAAGTAACTTGAATTCAAAAAAAAATCTTGTCTATCCCCCCCCCTCACCTTCAATATAATGTTTTTAAAAATATTTATTATAAAATTAAAAATTCAAGACAAAAAGAGATGCCATTTATTATGAAAATAGAAGAAAATGTTGAAGATTGGAATATAAATTTAGACGTAAAAAGAAGAGAAGTTGAATTAACAAATAATGGTTTTGCTAGTTTATTGTCTTCAAATAAAATAGAAATTATTTGGGGAATAATTAATTTAGGTTATCCACCACGAAATGTTGCCTATACAATTAATTATTATACACAAATTATAATTAAAGAAAAAATGGAAATTGGTTAGAGAAATTTAAATATTTAAATTTAATTAATTTTTAGCAATTAAACAATTAAATGAAATTGAAAAGTTGGAAAATGAAAATAAAATTAAAGAAAAATTGAGTGAATGGATAAAGGGAGAAAATTTTGTAGAAATGGTTGGTTAAATAAATATATTTTTTATAAAATTTAGAATAATTCCCCAAAACATTTTATTAGTTTGAGGGAATAATTTCTTATGCCCTCTCTCTATATATTAATGCCCCTTTCTTGTAGAGAGAAAGGGGCATTAATTAAAAATTAAAAAAAAATTCTTTAATTATTAGCCAAATAAAAACTGAGGAGTGATAGTCAGTTCTACTTCAATCAGTAGCTAGTCTAGCTCGATAGCTAATACTTTAGTAAAACTGAAAGGATTAAATTCAAAAAAAATATTTTTCTAAATTTATATTATTTAGTATCAACATTATTTACTTGTTATTTGTGCCTATTCTCCAAACAGTTTGGGAGGTCCTTCACTTTGTGATGTAATTGAAAGTCATTTAACATTTCTTTTGATAAAAAAATTTGAAACATTAAAATTTATTAAATATTTCCATATAAACCCAAAAGCTTTATTTAAAAGAGAAAATTGTCCAAAAGCAACGGGAATTAAAGAAGAGGTTTTTTAATTAAAAGAAATTTTATTTAATAATTTTAATTAAAAGGATTGGAAATGTACTGGTTGGATTATTGGATTTAAAATTTTAAAGGAAGAAGAAATTAAAGAAAATATAGAAGAATTAAAAAATAAAATTAAATCATTAAAAGAAAATGATTTTAAAAAATATATTGACAAAAATGGGGAAGAGGGAAAAATTAAAATTGGAGCAACTTATTTAAATAAGAAAAAATTTAAAGAATTTATCGCTGTATAAAAAGAAATTTATTTGGAAATGATTTTTTGGAAGGAGAGAGTTTAGGAAGATTTTTGGATTTTTTATAATTTAAAGAAAAACATTTGGGATTTTTTGGAGATATTTAATTTAAATTTATTTTTTTAAAATTTCATATGTAATTTTTTATTTTGAAGTAAACAAAGGTTTTTTTAGTTTTAGAAATGTATAAATTTATTTAAAAAAGTGTGGATTTGTAAATTATGTAAACCTCCGGCCGGTATTCTAAAAAGAGCGTAGGAGAACCTGGTAATTTATCCCAGGTTCTCTTACTCGGATAATAGAACAACGAGTTGAGGGTTAACCCTATTCCAAAAAAAACCCAGAACTCGATGATGGTTAACCCTTACCTTTCGTTTAAAATACCGTCCCCGAAGTATTATATGCACTAACTATTCGCAGATAAAATTAATTATTTATTCTAATTTTTTAAATAAAAATCGAGCTGGATGAAAAATATATACATCTTTAAATATTAAATGCGTAACCCAAATAACTAACATAGAAATAAACTTTCTAAAGATTAATACAAAAAGATATATGTATGTATACATGTATGATGTTTAGTGTTTGATATGAATTTTAAAAGAGATTATCATTTGTAAATTTAACATAAAATTGCTTTCCAACTAATCTTTGGAAATATTATATTTTATATACAAATATGTTTGTTTGTCACAAAAATTTTTTAGGGAATTCTTTCAATTCTTCAAGTTCTAGATTGAGGATGAATACTAACTGTCCCTTGACGGCGTTTTGTTTGAATTGTTGTTTGTATACGAATAATTGTTGAATGGGCTTTTGTAATTCCAAAATAGCGAAACACAGCACGACTTTAAAAGAAAATTTTTGCTCAGAAAAGGGAAATGGAATGGAAAATTTCAAATTTTCTATTTAACTCTCCACTGTCTTCAAGTTTAGTCAATTCTGATTCAATTTAATTAAAAATAAACTTGCCGATATGGGGCAACAAGTAAAATAGTCCCAATTGGATTTAATACCGGAATTAGATGAATTGGAATGTCAGTAAAAACTGTGTAAATATAAGTACTTTGTTGGGTTACAAATATAGGAACAAATATTTGAATACACCAAGCTCCAATTTCTAATGACGGAAGTAATGCCTTTATTAAATTTTAAAAAATTTCCCAACAATTGTTTTTTGAAAATTACTTGAAAAAGAAGGGCAGCCGAAACTTGTTTATTATATTCTTTTAATTTTAAAACATCCATTCCTTGAACTGCTTTACGAATTTTAAAGAAACAAATGCCAATTACAATGTAGAAACCGGGGAACATAACACACATAATTGCAATATGCATTAACCAACGAAATTCTCTCTTTAATTATAAATGTTTTTTTAAACTTAATACAGGAAATCTATGTTATGAGGGGAGATTAAAAAACACAGCAGGGTTGTTAAAAATTGATACAGTGTGCTACATTTTTACTAGAACAAATGTCATACCTACTCTCTCTGCAAGTACAGAGCCGGTGAATTATTAAATACCCAAAAATCCTCCTCTATAACCCTATATTCTCTCCATTTAAAAAGAAAATCTTCAAAAAAATATTACCGCATTAACAAAAGAAATAAATTGAACATCAGAAATGCCAGACTCTTCACCAAGTTTATGCATTATTTCCCTCATTTTACTTGCTTCCCCAGGACGTGGATAGTCAGCCCAGGCAAGCAAAAATGCATGAAAAGAGTTTAGAAAAATTTGGACAAAAATTAGACTTCCAACAATTTTTGCCGAAATAATTCCATTTCTACATAAAATACAAAAACGATAAACATATTGGGACATTGTTGTAATTAAGAAAAAAAGCTTTTTAATTTAAAAAATATTTTTATTGAGAAAATATTTTTAAAACCATTAATTGTATCCAAGTAAGATAAACAGCATAACGAATTGGTTGTGACGACTTTCGGAAGACTCCATTCATCATTATAGTTCGATAACCGCGGTCGGTACAAGGAATCTATATTTAATATTAATTTAATTAAAAATACTTTAGAAGTAGATTAATTTCTATTAGATTCTATTAGATTAAGTAGATTAATTAGATTAATTTTTTTCCGATTAATTTCCAACAATTTTATTCTCATATTTCAATACAACTAGGGATACAGTGGCGGAAATTTAAATAGGGAAAAATATTTTTAATTTTATTTCTGAAAATTATTAAGCTTATCATTTATCTCGGACCTTTACTTTTATATAGTTTTGTAGCTTTATTTATAAGCTATCAAATGACTACAAATTATTAAAAGAAAAGTTTTCACTTTAGCTTAAAAAATCATTTATCTATGTTAACCTTAAAAAGTGCGCGGAAATTTAAATAGGGAAAATTTTTATACATAAATTTTTATGGAAAATCAAAATAGAAAAAATTTGAAAAAATTTCTTAGACCTTCTCTAGCGATATGATGAAGAATGGCAAAAAATCTGAATTTTAACCCAGCTCCATCATCGACATCTCGAGGTCCAAAATCAACAAAAATGGGGGTGATTTGGAGGTGATCTGATTTAAAAAAGTTTTTCAGCGCATCTGACACAGATAAAATTTTTCTTTTTTGATAATCTTAGAGCCCATAAAGTTTGCTACAAAATAGGCTTTATATCATTTCTTCAAAAAATTTTTTCCTCGAGATATAGGCTGAAACCTTTTAATTTTGGGAAAAATGTGTTAAATCAGTCATAAATTTCATAACTATAAAATCTTCGGTATTCATCTCGAGGAAAAAATTTTTTGAAGAAATGATATAAAGCCTATTTTGTAGCAAACTTTATGGGCTCTAAGATTATCAAAAAAGAAAAATTTTATCTGTGTCAGATGCGCTGAAAAACTTTTTTAAATCAGATCACCTCCAAATCACCCCCATTTTTGTTGATTTTGGACCTCGAGATGTCGATGATGGAGCTGGGTTAAAATTCAGATTTTTTGCCATTCTTCATCATATCGCTAGAGAAGGTCTAAGAAATTTTTTCAAATTTTTTCTATTTTGATTTTCCATAAAAATTTATGTATAAAAATTTTCCCTATTTAAATTTCCGCGCACTTTTTAAGTTTAACATAGATAAATGATTTTTTAAGCTAAAGTGAAAACTTTTCTTTTAATAATTTGTAGTCATTTGATAGCTTATAAATAAAGCTACAAAACTATATAAAAGTAAAGGTCCGAGATAAATGATAAGCTTAATAATTTTCAGAAATAAAATTAAAAATATTTTTCCCTATTTAAATTTCCGCCACTGTATATTACAACTAGGGATACGAACGAGACACGATCCCGTTCAAAAGTCTCATACCAATGAATGATCTAATCTAGTTGGAATTCTATTTACAAAAATAGGTAATTTGTAGATTACCGGTTGAACAATAAATGTCCAAAAAGAAACAATTAAATCCATAAAACAACTCATATAAAGCAATTTTTTGTATATTTCCATTCCTTTTGCAGTTTTTGTTCGGATCAGGTAAATTAATAAAGAATTCATTGAAAGTCCACCAACAAGAACAAAACTGTCCAAAAAAGCGTAGACAGTGCGGATTGGGTCTAAAATTTATATAATTTGAATGTTTTTAAAATCCAGAACAGAGACAAGTGTAAGGATGATTCACCTAGCAGCATTTAAAACGCTTAGGCGGGGGATAAACGATCTAAAAAGGAAATACAGGGACGGTGAAAATTATCAAATTCTCCGGCTTTCTGGACCCCCTTCAAAACTCCGTCCAAAATTCCATACCTTTTGTAGAGAAGAAAGTATAATCTCCCTTCAACACCCCAACTGCTGTTGTTTCGTCCATCTTTCAAAATTTATTTTTAAATTAAAAGTAAATTTTTTAATTTTTTTCGAAAAATGAATAATAAAATTAAAAAAAAAGAATATTTTATAAAGTATTACTTTTAGCTTAAATAATAAAACAAATAATATTTTTTAATTAATTTTAATTACTTCCTTAATCTTTTTAAAACAATTGAGGTAAAAGGCAAAAAGTATGAGAAACAAAGGATTTTTCACCACAAAAATAGTGTTAAATTAAATTTTTAAACAACAATATTTGTTTATAATAATAATAATAAATGGTAGATACCTAATACAATAAATAAGATTTGGGTTTAATTTTCGGGAATTCAGAATTCTTCAGGAAAGCGAGAACGTTAAGTCTTTATTTTTACTTTTTACACCTTATTATGTTTAAAGACTGAAGTTTTGCTTAAAAATTGTACTAAAAGGGATCATTTAATAAAAACAATGTTTAAATCACAAAAGGAGGAAGCGGAGGAAGTAACATTCCTTCCTCACAAACAGATAATGATGACCACCATTTAATTATTTTATAACATTTTTAACAAAAAAATAATTATTTTGTTTATATAAAATTTAAAAGAACAAATATTTTAAAAAATAATTTTACAATAATTATTCCAATTTTTATAATTACCCTATTTACACGATTTTTTCAAAAAATTAAAATAAAAAATTCTAACGTGCCAATAAAAAAATTATAATATCCAATAAAACAAAAGTATATTTAAATAAATTATTTAAATAAATCTTTTAAAATAAAAATCTCTTGAGAATATTTAAATTAAAATTTAATAAAAATTATTTTAGAGACAGATGTTTAATTGTACGAATATTCTAAATATTTCTTGGAAGGTTAATTTTAAAAGTCCCGTGATAAAAAGTAATAATTTATTAAAATACAGATATTTTAATTAATTAAGCGAAAAAAGGACAAGAAATTATAACCTTTAAAATGATAAATTTTTAATTTTTCTAGGCGTAAATAATTTAATAAATTGTAACTTTGTTAACAATTGTGTTGAGTATTGTGCAATTATTTATTTTATAAATGTCAAGACTAATAATAACAAACAATTAGGGGATGGATGGAGGCGAAAATATTAAAAAGAAAAAAGAAAAGTTAATTGGAGATTGTTGAAAGGTTATTAATGAGAGGAAGAAAACGTTAAAAACTTGATGTAATTTTAGTGTAGAATTTATACACTAATTGAAGCCTAGGGATGGAGGGAAAGGGCACAAGCAATCAAATGTTGAACAAATGGACTCTTTTTAATAATTTTAGGACCCTCAATTTAAATAATTATATAACGAGATTTTACGTAAAAAATATTTTTGAAGAGGTTATGAAACAAAAAATAAAAGCTCTTGCGTAATCTATGCGTAAAATTTATGTCGATAAGTACCCGGAAATCCCTGTAAAATTCAGGGATTTAAATGCTACAAAATTTTAATGTTTCTTTTTAACTTAAATTCTGTAATATCTACAAAATAAGCTCAATCTCCTTTTAAAACTACACAAAAAAACAATTCAAAACATTCTAACCATTTATATTTTTGAAAAATGCAAAATATCCAAAAATTCTAATTTAAAAAATCCATTGCAACCAATTAAGCGAAATTGTCAAAATATAATTTAAAAAAATAAGAATATTTTCTTTCCTTTTCCCTTTTTTATTTGAATTCTTCTATCCAATCTAACCTCTCTCAATTTATTGTTTACCAAAATACTCTTTACTTTTGTTAGGATCTGGTTTGATAGTATCACTTCCTGGCTTCCAATTAGCTGGACAAACTTCTCCATGTTTGTCCGTATATTGAAAAGCTTGAACGAGACGAAGAGTCTGGAAATTTTAAAGAATTTAGTTAAAAATGGGATTTAAATTATTTTTAAGAGTTAAAATACCTAAAGGGTTTTTGGATAGAATTAACCATCCCATACTCTTATAATGAATTTTAGAACAATTTTAACAAGAAAAACGGATAAAATATGAGAAAGGAAAGTACCTAACAGGCCCGTAGCCAAGGGGGAATCCTGCCCCCGAAATGGGGAAAAGGAAAAAATTTGGGAAGGGGACAGGGCAAAAAAGTGAATTTTTTGGCTACGACGACAAAAATTCGACGTAAAATTTTTCTCCTTTGCCCCCCCCCCCCCCGAAAAAAATCCTGGCTACGGGCCTGTCTCAAAATTGAACTTTACCCAAATATTTTTCTTTAATTTCTATTCTAAAAATAACCTCATCAACAGAGCGTCCAACAGGAAGGTCATTAATAGTAATTTGACGAAGAATTCCTTTGGGATCAATAATAAACAATCCACTAAAAAGATAAATTTTTAGAATTTCAAAACTTTAATAAACCGATAGGCAATCCCCTCATCCTCTTTAAGAACTCCATAATCACGAGCAATTTTCATATTTCGATCAGAAAGAACAGGAATTTTCATTTCTCCAAGTCCTCCCTCCTTACGTGGTTTGTTGATCCATTCAAAATGGCTAAAAATTTAAATATTCAAAATTATAAAAATAAAAAACCTAAATTTAGAGTCAGTAGAACAAGCCAATAATTGAACGTTAATTTTGGTAAAGTCACCGCTTCTCTCAGAAAATGCAATTATTTCAGTCGGACAAACAAATGTACTAAAAAATTAGAATTAAAAACCTGCTCCAATTTTAGTCTCTGACTGCAATTTTATAACATCAAGGACAAAATTTTTAAAATGTCAGACCTCATATTTTAAAGAATTAAAAACCCCCTAACAGAAAATACCCAGTCCTTCTCACGAATAAATTTAAATTAAAAAAAACAAACAAGTCAAGCGGGTAGAAGAAAAGCACAACATATTTGCCCTTGTAGTCAGCCAACGAAATAGTCTTGAAGTCAGAATCAACAACAGCATCAGTTGTGAATTCAGGAGCAAGTTTTCCAATTTTTGCTTGTCCAGAAGTCATTTTCGGTATTATTTTCTTTTTTGTATTATTTTGAGAAGAAGAAGATTTTGTTCGATAACGCTGCATTTAAAAAATTAAATTTTTAATAAAGAAAATTTAACGAGGCAAAAAATGGGAAAAATGAAGGAAATGTTCATTGAAATGTAAAAACAAAACTATTTCAAATTAAAATAACCCAATAACGTGAGAAATCAAATTTAAAATTATTTTGTTCCTCATGGCAACAGAAATCTCGCAAAAAATCCTTTTATCGTTAAGAAAAAAAGATAAAGAAAAATTGGATTAAACGTCATTTTTCAATAATTATTACACAACGCCAATAAGATTTATTTTTCAAAGAAATTAATTAATTTAAAATCTTTTTAACAAACTACAAATGATTTATTTGATTAAAATATCAAATTTATAAAGTAAATAAAAAAGATAATTTATCAGAATATGTGAAGAGTAAAGATTGCGAAATAAAAAAAAAAGACGTGAAGTTTATGTCGACGTGGCTAAATATTTTTGTTTACTTTTATTTTGTTTTAACGCTGATTGGGGAGGAGGGAATAAAATGAGATATGTATAGGCGCCGAATTATTTAGACGCATAAGAATCTTATAGATTTTATAAGGTCCCTGTTGATTTTGAATTTTCTTGCGCCCAACTTACCCTCCAAATTAAATGTTTATGTGAACTAACAAACAAAATTGTGAAGAGAAATAAAATTCGTGAAAGAGAGAATAAATAAATTAGAGAGAATTTCCTAATCGGTCCAGTCCGTACCACCCCCATTATTTTTCTAATTCCTTTTTTCACATTTGTTCACGTTCATCATTTATTTCCTAACCACTCAACATTTTTCTAAAAATTGTTATCATTTTATTGAAAACAAAAATGTAATAATAACAAAATACAAACTAAAAATAAATATTTTTATTTATTTATGTGTAGTTTGTAATAATTTTATGTATGTTAGATAAACAATTTTTAGTATAAAATCAACAATTAAATCCCAATCATTTTATTTTTTAAAATCATTCTATAGTTCATTGGTGCGTATAGGTACTTTATTCCACATACTCCCACTGTTTAATGGAAGTATGTATGGGTAAAATACACAAAACCCTTTGAGCTGAGTTGAATGATGTTAGTTTAACAAATATGTATAAGATGGATGTTAATCTCAAGTTAGGATCGATCAAACAGCCTAGTTGATCTTGGCTTTATTATTTACTTACCTTTACGGTTGATTTGTTAGTTATTCGCTCATAACTTCTTGAAAGTTTACTCATTCTTGTTGATTTTTATGCTATTCGACTCATCTCGCCAGACAGCAAATACCCCTTATAATAGCCTATTAAGTTCTCGCTTATAGGGGATTATTTATATATGTATAATTTTAATTTTTAAAGAATTTTTGACAATCTTTTTAAAAAAATTAAATAATGGTTCAATACAAATTGCATTATTTTGACCTGCCTGGAAGAGCTGAAGCAATTCGTATGCTTTTCTACTACAAGGGGCAACCTTTTGAAGATTATCGAATTAAAAAGGAGGATTGGCCAACAGTTAAATCGAGTAAATTAATGAATAATACACTCCTCCACAAAAGTATAAGGGCACATGTATTTTCGCAATTTTTTTACTTCTAATGATCCAAATTTTCTGAAAATTTAGATACACACCTTTTAGTGAATAACTAATAAGATGTGCATCGATTTTTGGCTGATTTTTTATTTTAAAAAATTTTAGACAAAAATTTGCATTTTCTGCCTCCACAAAAGTATAGGGGCACTTACAAAAAAGATATTTCCAAGATTAGAAAAAATCTACAAAAATTCTAGCAAACATACATAATGATATTATGAATAAATAAAAAAGAACTAGATCCATATCTTTACCCTGAGCCGAGATCCTGAGACCCCGAAAATCAATGTAAATCAAGGGTAAGGCTCTTTAAAAAAATTTTTCGAACCCTTATGGATTTGTTTTGAATTTTGATTTTGGGCTCATTCGAAAGCCCTTGAAATTTGCTACAAGATAGCAAAGGTTTTATTTTCTATACTTTTGTGGAGGCCGAAAATGCAAATTTTTGTCTAAAAATTTTTAAAATAAAAGATCGGCCAAAAATCAATGCACATCTTATTAGTTATTCACTAAAAGGTGTGTATCTAAATTTTCAGAAAATATGGATCATTGGATGTAAAAAAATTGCGAAAATACAAGTGCCCTTATACTTTTGTGGAGGAGTGTATTTTCTGAAAAATTTTATTTTTGTTTAGAATATCCATTTGGACAAGTTCCAGTGTTAGAAGTTGATGGGAAACAATTAGCACAAGCTGGAGCTATTTTGCAATTTTTGGGCAAAAAATTTGGTTATCTATTTAAAAAATTATTTTTCAAAAATAATTTTTTCCCTAGAGTTGGCAGGCAAAGATGAATGGGAAGAGGCGAAGGCAATGGAAATAATATTCCTTAATGATGAAATGGGAGTCGCAGTAGGGCCATATATTGGAGCAAAATTTGGATTTCGTGAATTCCCTGTTAACGGGAATCAGAGATATAAAGGGATTGTATGATATCGAAGAATTAAGGAGTTATAAAGGGATATAAGGTTTAGATTAAAATGAATTTGAAAGGATTTCGTGAATTTAACAGAATTAACAAGGATTTCGTGGGAGATTTAAGGATTAATCCAAGATATCTCATGATATCCGTCCAAATACCCTTATCCGCAATACATCAATATCCTTATAAATGACTAATATCCCTTGAACCAACAAAAATCACTCCAGATCACTTTGTATCCCTAGATATACAATTTAATCCCTAAAAATCCCACTTAATCCCTCCAGATCCTTTTATATCGCAAGTTTTACACTTTAATCCTTTCAAATCCCCTCTAATTTCTTAAAATTCTACTTAATTTTTGAATAAATCGACGAAAATATATCATTTTTAATTATTTTTGAGCATTTTTTTCTCTAAAAAATTTTCCACTGAACCCCCGTACCCCGACCCGAACCCCGGCCATATTTTGCTCCCCCGACCCGAACCCCGCCCCGAAACATTTGGAAAACCCCGTACCCCGACATAACCGCCCCCGAGCGTTCGGGGTACAACCCTAATCTTAACTCAATCTAAGATTTCTCTAATCCATTCAGTTAGAAATAAAACTTGTTCATCAATATTTCAAAAAAAATTTTTTCAATTTATAGGAGCAACTTCGAAAGGATGTTTTTCTGCCAGCTATTGAAAGATATTTTCCTTTATACGAAAAACGTTTGGAAGAGTCCAATTCTGGTTTTATTTTGGCTTCTGGATTAAGTTTTGTTGACTTTTCTGTTGCTCACTTTACCGGAATGATGATTGAAATGGAAAAGGATATAATGGCTAAATATCCAAAATTGGTCGATTTTTCTACTCGTTTTTATTCGCTTCCCCAATTGAAGGAATATTTGAGCAAGAAAAAATGTTAAATATAAAAAGATTATTTTAATATGTATTATGTAGTACTTTTTAATTGTGACTTCGATAAAAGTTGATTAAAGCAGTAACTTAATAATTAAAATATTATTAGATTTGCTAAATGGCAATACATAAGGGATTTGATGTTATTTTTTAAATAACATCAATATTGAAGTATTTAAAATATTCAGAGTATATGTATTTTATTTGTTTTAATATTGACAAAATTTATTTTTCATAAAAATAGATATTTAAATAATTCTGTTAACTTAAATGAAAAAAATTCATAAAGATAAAGAAAAATGATAATCTATCAAAATTTGAGTAAAGTAAAGATTGTAAAATAAAAACGTGGCTATTTTGTTTTAATTTTGATTGAAGTTGGAAATTGGGGAATTCAAGTAAAATCCCCAAAATAATATGAACAATTAAAAGAAAATTGTGTGGACAAGTAAAAATTCGTGAAAGAGAGAATAAATAAATTAGAGGGAATTTCCTAATCGGTCCGGTCCGTACCACCCTCATTATTTTTCTAATTCCTTTTCTCATTCTCATTCACGTTCATCATTTCCTTCCTAAGCACAACAACGTTTATATTCCTTTTTTCTAGAAATGCTCGTTTTAAAAACAAAAATACAGACAAAGTATATAGTATTTCTATTTTGTAGTTTACTACAACTTTTGTAGCCAAGCTTGAGCAATTTTTTAGTATAAAATCAACAAATTAATAAAATCAAAACGACCTTTCATTTCACTTTTAACTTATTCTTAATAAAATTGTTGCCGAACAAGTATTATTCTAAAAATTTATTTTTTTTACTAAAGTCAATTCTCGTTACAATATCGAGATTTGTCTGATATTATTAGAAATTGGTAAAAAGAGCACGAATCATAGAATATGGGAAATCTAAACAAAATGCAAAATCTAAAGTAAATTTTAAGAAAGGACAAAATAAAATTTGTCGCCGAACTTTTGCCCCACCCTGTATTTACATTTCAGAGTTAAGTTTCTCAAATAAATTTTAAAAATTTTAAGCCAAAATGGTTAAATACAAATTACATTATTTTGATGTAACTGGGAGGGCAGAACCAATTCGTTTAATTTTTAATTATAAAGGGCAACCATTTGAAGATTTTCGATTTAAAAAAGAGGATTGGCCGACACTTAAATCGAGTAATTAATATATTATTTTCTAAATTAGTCATTGAACAATTTTATGTAGACTATATATTTGGACAAGTTCCAGTGTTAGAAGTAGATGGGAAACAATTAGCACAATGTGGAGCTATTATGCAATTTTTGGGCAAAAAATTTGGTTATTCAATAAATTATTTTTCGAAGAAGAATTTTGTAAAATTTTTCTTAGATTTGGGAGGCAAAAATGAATGGGAAGAGGCAAAAGCAATGGAAATAAGCTGTCTTTGTGATGAGATGGGATATGCAGTAGAACCTTATATTGATGCAAAATTTGGATTTCACGGAGGCAATGTGGTCTGTTGAAAATAATAATTATAGATACAGTAGGGGACTAAAAGTTACGGACACGAGTACATATGTGAAAGTTACATACCAGGGCTGGGCTTATTTCGCACTTTCGCGTTTCGCATCTTTCGCATTCTCGCATTTTTCAGCGCGAAAAGTTTCGCATTTCGCTTTTTATTTCTAGATTTCGCCCAACCCTGTTACATACCCTTGTCCCTATTTTATTACTTTATTCTACATAATTTAAAGGAACAACTTCGAAAAGATGTTTTTCTGCCTGCTATTGAAAGATATTTTCCTTTATACGAAAAACGTTTGGAAGAGTCCAATTCTGGTTTTATTTTGCCTTCTGGATTAAGTTTTGTTGACTTTTCTGTTGCTCATTTTATTAAAATAATGATTGGAATTGAAAACGAATTTAAATTTAAATATCCAAAATTGGCTAATTATTCTGATAGCTTTACTTTTACTATTGAAGGACACTAAGAAAATTTGATTTTTAATTTATACAAACATTCTTTTGAGGTCAAAATTCTTACTAAATCTCTTCTAAGTAATTACTAACCTCTTCATTTTAATTCCCCATTTATTTTTTAATCCAAATTTTATCCCAAATTTTATTTTTGCCTTGTATCCGCTTATTCAATACCCTTTTTCCTTATCCCAAAAATTTCTTGACATATGTATGTAAGCCTGACATTTCTTTTCAAAATATTATTGAATATCAATTTAAAAATACATAAATTAATAATATTAATTTTTAAAAATTGTTTAGAGAACAAAATTATTTGTTTTTCCTCTTTTAGTTTTAATTTTTGTAAGCATTTTAGCAGCTTTTTTAAAAAATAATAATAATGGTTCAATATAAATTACATTATTTTGACACAACAGCAAAAGGTGAACCAATTCGTTTACTGTTTAATTACAAGGGACAGTCTTTTGAAGATTATCGAATTAAAAAGGAGGATTGGCCAACACTTAAATCGAGTAAATTAAAGAATAATATTTTCTGAAAAATTTGTTTTTTGTTTAGACTATATATTTGGACAAGTCCCAGTGTTAGAAATTGATGGAAAACAATTAGCACAATGTGGAGCTATTATGCAATTTTTGGGCAAAAAATTTGGTTGTTTAAAAAAATTATTTTTATAAAAATAATTTTGTATTTTTTTAGATTTGGGAGGAAAAAATGAATGGGAAGAGGCGAAGGTAATGGAAATAAGCTGTCTTTGTGATGAGATGGCATATATGGTAGGTCCATACGTTGCAGCAAAATTTGGATTTCGCCAAGGCGATGTTGTTAGTTTAATAATTATGTACATATTTTTCTTAATTTTCAATTTATAGGAGCAACTTCGAAAGGATGTTTTTCTGCCAGCTATTGAAAGATATTTTCCTTTATTTGAAAAACGTTTGGAAGAGTCCAATTCTGGTTTTATTTTGCCTTCTGGATTAAGTTTTGTTGACTTTTCTGTTGCTCACTTTATCGGAATGATGATTGAAATGGAAAAGGATATAATGGCTAAATACCCAAAATTGGTTGAATTTTCAAAGCGCATTTATTCGCTTCCTCAATTGAAGGAATATTTGAGCAAGAAAAAATGTTAAATATGAAAAGATTATTTAAATATTATTAGCGCTTTTTTAATTGTTTAAAATTTTAATACTCCGAATTTTTCGACCATAACTTTTAGTAAATTTTAGAGACTTTTAGAGAACATTAATTAATATATTTAAAAAAATATATGATTCATAAACTCCAAATTTATAGAAATTTACTCCAAAAAGGCTCCTAAAATTTTTTAATTTCTTAAGGTTCTAATGAATAAATAAATTCTAAATTGTTACTAAATATTACAAATCTAATTTCAAGCAAAATTAAAAATTTTTTATTAAAGGGTGGCTAATTGTTTTTAGTACTTTTTGTTAAATAATATATGTAGATGTAAAATAATTATAACCCCACTTGAAAAAATTTTGTTCTTCATAATGGAGACTTTATATTCCCAAAATAAGATACCGTATTTCCTAAAATAGTACTCCCGGGAGTACTATTTTTCAACCCTCCTCCAAAGGGGAGTACTATTTAAGGGGGGAGTACTAATTGAGGGGGGAGTACTATTTTTCAACCCTCCTCCATGATTTATTATAGGAAAATTTATTTTAAAATTCTAAATGTTAGAATTAGAGATTGTTATTTAAAAATGCCGGATCAGGAAGATTTGATTCGATTAGTGGATTTGGAGTGATATCGAGGGATATAAAGGGATTTAAGCGATTAAGACTAGATATCTAAATTTACACTCTACGTCCATCTTGAACTCCCGAACACATTTATACACTTGATATGCGTAAAATCCCCTAGACATCATTCAAGGGGATTTATCAGGAGATTACCTAATCTCCTGTGTATAGTGATTACCTGTGTCTAGTGTAATCCTGTGTCTAGAGATGTCCTAATCTCTGTGTCTAAGGATTTATCAGCATTAATCACCGATATCTTTCATATTCCTTTTGTTCTTCCAATATCCCTACGAATTATATGATATCCATATTTGGGCACCAGGGATCAAATGAGATAAGTTGGATATCAGTGTTTGGATGTCTGGGTATTTTTGATTAGAGGTAACGAAAAAATATCTGTGGATTAAGGAGGATTTATTATTAAATTTCATATCTTTATCACTCTTAATCAACCAAAATCGCCTAATATGACTCATCCTTCATTATTCCCTCAAATTCGTTTATGAAACCATAATGCAATGATATTTTTTAGACCCCACTTATCAATCCAGAACACATTTTATCACCCGATATAATCACTTATATCCTCAAATCCACTTTTATCCCACCAACTAATCACAATATATCTCTTTAATCGTCGACAAATTTTAGGTTAAAATTTCGGTTCGTTTTCGGTAACCGAAACTTGTTCGGTTTCGGTTATCGAAGAATCAAGTGAAACCGACAACCTACTTATGTAGAATAAATAAAATAAATAAATAAATTTCAATAAAATAATTCATTGAGTCTACTATATTTTTTTTAAATATAGGAAAAAAATATTTTAGGGGGGAGTACTATTTTAGGGGAGTACTATTTAAGGGGGGAGTACTATTTTTCAACCCTCCTCCGAAGGGGAGTATTATTTAAGGGGGGAGTACTAATTCAGGGGGGAGTATTATTTTAGGAAATACGGTAATATCTGAACAATTAAAAAAGATTGTGTGGAGAAATAAAAATTCGTGAAAGAGAGAATAAATAAATTAGAGAGAATTTCCTAATCGGTCCAGTCCGTACCACCCCCATTATTTTTCTAATTCCTTTCCTCATTTCTCATTCACGTTCATCATTTCCTTGCTAAACACTCAACATTCATTCCTTTTTTTCTAAAAATTCTCGTTTTAAAAACAAAAATAATAAGATACGGACAAAATATTTCTATTTTTGTAGTTTACTACAAGTTTTGTAGCCAATTTGAGCAATTTTTCAGTATAAAATCAACAACCTTTCATTTCCCTTTCAATT